GCTGCAAGGTGTGAAATTCAAGGCCTGGGCTGAGCCCTGGAAATGCCAAAGAACATAGACACTGTCTTTCCCCTCTCCGAATTAGTTAGAAAATAATTCGTTCATGCAAAAAATAAAACTTATGGATTTAAACACTCCATTGGCAGGAAACTAATAAGGAAGCATTTCTCTGCTAGCTACACCGAGCATACTACACTGTTCATAGCAGGCCCAGTACACTCTGGTATGTCTATGACCCCTGCCAGACACCAAACCAACTCTCCAAAGGTATCCACATACATAGCTGGGCCCAAAGTTGTCAAATTACTTTTCCAAATGGGACTTGGGTTCCTATTTTGCTAATCCCACTGACTAGTAATGGGAGCTGGGTATCTCACTCCCTTAGGCACTTTTGAAGCAAGCTAAAATCTGTGGGTACTTATACACAAGCCAGGGGGCTGCTCCAATGCACTGTAATTACAGCACATTGAAGCAGACACAATTAATCAAGTCTGTTGGAACGTGATAATTACTGTGCTCCAGCCAGTCTCCGCATCTCATGTATTAGTGTCCCTGTGCTTCAAAATGGCAGCGGGGGTGCTTTAACTAAAGCTCTTGGAGCTACTCTAATGAAAGCACCCCCTTACCCCGCTAGTCTCAGAACACATGTAAAAATGCCCTTTGTGTCCTAATATTACTGTTAGGAGAATTTGGGGTTCTTCCACTTTCCCTCATTTCTAGCCATTTAAAAAACATCCTGTTGAAGGTGACCACCAGGCAAGGGCATCCTAGAGCTGGTTCAGCATCACTTGAGCATTTAATATAGAGACAGTAATTCAAAATTCTGCATTTTTGCCTTTTTAGCACTGGGGAGCTGAGGATGTATGATGTACAGAACTGCTAGTGAAAAGAGGCAGGAAATAAAGGCAAGGGGTCACTTTTATAACTCAAACTGAAATCAACTACATTTAGAGAACATGGCAAGGAAAGAAAATAGAAAATTTTCCTTACTATTTTAACCCACTGTTTTCCAGTACCAACTCTTCCAGTGTCATCGATTTGCTGAGCATATACAGCAGCTGTTCAGAAATCTCCAGATTCTGTGGGAGAGGAAAACCTTGTTATTTACAGGACAACACTTAATAACTTTCATACCACATGGCTCTATACGTACCAGCCTGAAGTCCTTACAGTACAGCTTTGTGAACCACAGGTTGAAGGACAATGCAGCAACACTAAGGGCAACATCTCTGCAGTAGGACAAAGGGATAGAACAATGAGTGGAGTTATGGAGAGGGTGCCTGTAATTAACATGGTAATTACTACATTAAAGGAGCCAGGTTGCACATATGCCATGGGTAGAGAGAAATTTTTCATATGAACAGTTTTGTGGTTAAAAAAAAATAAAAAGCAAGTTTGCCAACATAAAAATGATCCACAAAATTGGTCACGTTTCATGTAAAAAAAAATCTAGAAGTCAGAAATGTATCATTTTAAAAAATTCAAATGACTTTTTTCATTTTAAAATATCCTGCTCATTTGAACTAGCTGTAAATAGGCACCTGGTCACTCAAGCTGGAGAGGCAAAACGGATGGATGCCCTACTAGTCACATCACTCCCTTGTGTGCTGTTGGCCATAGAAACTGGCTTGCTTTAAGTGAATTGGCTGGATTGGGCCAAAAGGCTCAGTCAGGCCTGTGATCTTTTTTTGTGCATATGAAAACACATAATAAGGCACGGTGCAAAGAGCTGGCTGGTCCTTCAGTTTTTGTTTCTGACACTAATTACATTGCTTTTCAGTATTTAAATGGCAATAAGGATGTCTCCCTAGTTATTCCAGGCATACTAGCTCTGAAGGGTGACCCCGTTTGTTCTCCGAGGGTGTTCTAATGTCACTCTTCAAATGCAGTTCTGCTGTGCAAAGTGATTCTGTAAAGCTGGACCCCTGGGCCCCAACATTATCACCACCTCCTGAGTCCAGTCCGGAAGGGCTCAGCTCACAGGTAATAAGACTGCTTACTCAGAGTGCTGCCAGCCCCTTAGACTCATCCTGGGACTGGAGCATCAAGCTGAGCTCTTTCCTTCTCCTATGTTACCAATGGCAATGAAGGTTCTGAGAAGTGAGCTCTGCCTGCAGGGCCCTGTCTTTTTCTCTTGAGTGGGGTTGAATATGGGACAGCTGATGAGCATTTAGTAAGCAATTCTGTTGATGATGCATGAGACAAAACAGACTACAGCACCCTGCCCCATGGCAGTGCTGTCTCTACACGACCCAAAGGCCAAAGGAACAGGCTCTAGCCCCCTCTCAGGGGGCCACATTTCTGATTTTAACTATGCATATGGCATATGCACATTCCTTCTTTCTAAAGACAGGTGAAGTGGCTTAAGAGACCCTCAAACAACCACCTCAGGTCTTTGCTTTTGATGTTTGAAATTAGTCCCTCAGAAGCCAAAACCAGAAGTAGCAATGACCACATTTACAAAATGCCTGCAGAAAAAGTGTGTTCTCCCTCAGGCTTACGTGCAGGGGGAAAAATGTAGAAGAAATGCTAAGAGAACTGATAACCTCATGAGGCGCATCCACACCTGCAGGCACGTGCACTTGCAGCAGCTCAAATAGAAATGGTGCAAATTTGAACAGGAGTTTTTTGCCTCAGCACGTGTGCCCAGACATGCACTTTGGTGTGGTGCAAGTTGTGCCACTTGGGGCAAAATAACCCTGCCTGGCTCCTCCCAGATCTGCAGCCAGGGGGAGGTAGAGCCCGGGGCCAGCATCTGTCCTGGCCCCAGCAGTATAAAAACCTGCCCTGAGCAGCAACTCAGAGCTACTTGTCCTCAGGAGCTTATAGGGGGAGGATCCTCTGGGAAGAAGCTGGCCATGCCCCTTCCTGTCCCAGGCTGTTACTGCTGGTTGCTGCAAGCTTGGTCTTGGGAGCTTCTGGGGAAAAGATGGCCAGGCCCCTTCCAGCCTCTGGCTACTGCTAGCTGCTGGCTTATTCTCAGAATGTTTGTGGGGTAAGGTGGCTGCAACCCTTCCTGCCTTGGGCTGCTGTCGTTGCTGCCCCCCCTCCCCAAGGCGGGGATCCTCTGCTGCATGCGACTGCCCCCCCTTGGGAGGGGCCCACCGCACCTCCACTTCTGCACCCCTATTCTGGCCTGCTGCCCAGCCTGCCACCAAGCCATGGTTGAGAGACAGCCTGGGGACGGAGCCTGCACTACTGGTCTGCCCCAGCTGCCTTGGCAGGCCACCCCCCACCTTCACCTCCACTTTCACCTGAAGCACACACTGAGTGGCTGAACTGGATGGCTGCTACCATCTGTTCTGCTGCTGCCCCCTCTCAGGAGAGAAGGAGACTCCATGCTGCACCACCTTACACCACTCAACACCACACCTGCACTGGATTATCCCTAAATGACTGATTGCTCCTGCCCTCCCCACATCTGATCCTGGTTTGTTTTCGCACCTATTGCTCTGCTGCTGAGTGCCTGGCTGGAGGCCTGAGGGGCTCCTGGACTGATCTTTTACATCTGCCTCAGCAGCCTTCCTTGTGTGTTTTTTGCCCATGTGCGTTCCCCCCCGGCCCCTACATTCCCGAAGCATAGCCCTCCTGGTTTCTTATTCCTATGGAGCTGTAGTTCAGTGATCTTCAGCCCCCTTCCCCCACCCCCTACTTCCCCCACAGCCCCAATCTGCCCCTATTAGATTCACCAGCCCCACTGTATATTTTGGTTTTCGTTATTGTTTTCCCCTCCCTGATGTGAAGCAATGGCAGGGCAGGAACCTTCAGGGAAGCGGGGAGGAACAGAT